TCACTGGACCATGCCTAGTAACAGACCAACACGGGCACTCCGAGCTGACCTACAACTTGCCTGACAGTGAGAGCAATCAGCAGCTTTCCAAATGATGGAACAGTTTATGATTCGATTCCTCGATCTGTCCCTGATGGCTTCTCATTAACTGTGAGCACACACGCCAGCCCTGCAGAGAATAAAAAGATGCCCTAGCATGCGGGCTCAACCGCGGGTTTGTCAAGGGACACCTCACATAGGCGGCACAGAGTCAAGTGTGGGACGGTTCTCTCATGCCCTACGGAATGTGAAAGGCTAGGCTTTACTAAACCTCTGCACAACCAAAAGCATGATGGGAAAACACAGGGAACTTTCCAAAACTCAGCAATTCCAGGGAGCCAAGGCAATAATCCTCCACAGACACTAAGTCCGACTGAAAAAAATACTAGGGCAGCAGACAGTTTGAGGCTGTGGTCTTAGGAAAAACTAATAATAGCAGTAGCTGTCATTTACCGAGCCCTGAGCTAGAAAGGCCTTTTAAACAGATGATCTCATTTACTCCTCAAAATAATCTTGTTGCAGTGAAGGTCACCTGCATCTCCAAGGAGGGGACTCTGAAGCCCAGAGGATCCGGGGAGTAGCCCAGTGCGAGCCAGTGGCTGGGCCGTGAGCCGAGCTGAGGTCTGCCTGCCTCTCAAACACACTGCGTGCACCATGCCCCACTGCACCCCTAAGGAGCACGTCTTTACTCCAGCCCAAGACGGGGAGCGTCTGCTCCAGCTTTCCACGGTAAGGCTGACTTTGTTTTCTGGAAACTGAAGAGCCCCAGCAGGACAATCCTGAGATGATACAGTAGTTACAGTACAGGCAAAGATGCGGTAACAAAGAGACCCCAAGAGGCTTCTCCCCCACAGTGCAGAGGCTGGCCAGGCCCTGCTGTTCCACGAGGTTATCAAGGACCCAGGTTCTATTCATTTGCTAGAAGAGGAAAAAGATGACTGGAAGAGCAAGTCATTTTCTCTTTGGATCATGCCCTGGAAGTTCACATGCTATTTCTGCTCACATCCCATTAAACCAGAACTTATTCACATGCCCGCAACTGGATACGAAGAAGGCTGGGGAAATGTCTCTGCATGTGTCCATCTAGAGCTCTTCCCAAACAGAGGAAGGGGAGAATGCATTCAGGGACAATGACCGGCCTGTGGAACCGACAGATGGCCTGTCCGCCTGTACATGGAGATAACAGCCTTATTAATGCTTCTACAGAACGACTGAGCATCACCAGGTTCCCATTAAATCTTTCAGAATGAGCCCTGGCTGCTGTGGCTCGGTGGACTGAGCACCAGCCTGAAAACTGGAAGGTCGATGGTTTGATTCCCAGTCAGGGCACATGGCTGAGCTGCAGGCCACGACCCCACTTGGGGACTTGTGAGAGGCAAACAATCAATGTTTCTCTCAAACACTGACATTTCTCTTTCCCTTCCTCCCCCTCTCTCTAAAAAATAAATTTAAAAATCTTTTTAAAAATTCTCCCAGAATGAACTTATGAACTTGTTACAAAATACCAAATTTTACCAAATCTAAGATGCCTTCAAGTATAAGACACGCCATTAATTCATGCACCACTAAGAAAAGTGCCGCCCACAACACCGTGAGATGCCGATTTCGGTAAGATGCACACCAATTCCAGAGATGTTAGAACTGGGGAAAATGCATCTCTCAGAACAAACAACATGCAGTACACTCCTGAAATAACAAATCAAACTTATCTGCCCTGTGCAATTACAGAGCAAAAAATCAATTAAATTTTAGAATACAAATTGTTACGGTTGCTATTAGGCCATTCTTTATGAGGATGATATAAATAATATACTGAGGCCATACTTATATTTCATGAATTTAAAAAACCCAAATCAATTCTATGGGAAAGACAGCTCCCTTCAGAGGTGACGGGGGCTGGGTTCCGGCCCAGCCTGAGAGCAGGGGCAGCTTCCCGTGCACATGAGCTGCACTCCAAAGGGTGGTGAGCTGGACTGGGTGTGTGTGTGTGTGACACCGGGACACTGGGAAGGAGTGCAGCATGTGGGGACACCCGTGTGTGTGTGTGTGTATGAGACACCGGGAAGGAGTGCAGCACGTGGGGACGGCCCCAGGCGACGACTGTGGGCAATGAAGACACAGCATTAGAGCAAGTCTGCTCAGGAAGACTCAGGGTGAGGCTTTGGTTTTTATCCTCGGGACAATGAGATGCCACTGAAGAATTTTAAGCAAGAGAGTAACAATCCCACTCGTGTTTTAGGAGACCATTCTGGCATCTATGTGGAAAATGGACTGTAAGGAGGAGAGTGAAGAGTGGGCTGTAAGACGGAGGGTGGAGAGTGGGAAGCAGCGAGCAGGCTCCTGGGGTCAGCCCGAGAGAGTTCAGACTTGGTACAGCTCTGGGGAGCGGCAAAGGTTTGGGGACAGAAAGCAGGGTGTGAGCAGAAGGGACAGGGAGGCCTCCAGGTTCCCGCGACCACGCTGCAAAAGGAATGGGCTGAGTCCGAGGTGCTTGAGCCTGCACTGCACCGGGAAGGGAGCTGGCTGCTGCATGTGTCACCTGGGCGCCAACATTCGGGCAGGGGCACATCTTAGGGGACATCTGTATGGAGGTATCGATTAAAGCCACAGTCATAGGGGAGACCCAGAGGGAAGGGGTCAGGGTTAAGAGGAAAGGGGGCCTGGGCCAGAGGCTAAGAACACCCACATTTAAAGACCAGGCTCAGAGGGCGACCGAGCCACTCAAACGCCCACCCCCACTATGCGCCCATGGCTTGCTCGTGCCGGGCCCCATGTGCCAGGACGTGCGGCTTTAGGTTCGAGGATATCCAATGAGCCTATTCTGGTTGCAGAATTCCCACAAAGTGGCAGTTCTCTGCTCCATGCGACCTGTGCACACTGGGAGTGTCCGGGCACCGGACAGTCTTCTGGTCCCTGCCCTCAAAGAGCTCATGTTCTAGAAAACATAGTGAGCACACAACTACGTGAAATGAAGATGGTCCAGAATATGTCTGTTACACTTTAAATCTACACCTTTGCCCCTCTCAGGTAAAAGTACGAAATGTTTCCTTGAAAATTAATGTTATTTCTCCCATTAATAGTTAATTGTAGACACATGTACCACAAAAGAGATTTAAACATTCGGCTCCCAAAGAATACTGTCTGGCATTGAAAAAGCAACCAAGGAGCTTCACATCCCATGGAAGAAGTCTTTACATTCTGAAATACAGACACAGCCGCTCAGATGCTAATGATCGCCACACCCTCGTGGAGTGGAAACATGCTCAGGCAGAGGAGGCGACCGAGGGGGTAGGCTGTGTGTTCCCAGCAGGGAGTCACTCCAGCATAGGTGTGTCTCCTGTGAGAGAAGAGAAATGGGCGGGCAGATGCAGAGCAGAAATTCTCGTGTTGGGAAGATGCAATGAAGCATGGAGCGCAGGCCAATGCTGCTAATCTGCATACCGCTGATCTGCATACCACCCCTGGTATAATACAGTTGACCAGCACCCTAAGTTACACTCTCAAAAATGCTTGGTTCAGTGCAGGGAATTTTCTAAACTTCAAACAGAAGACATGGTTGAAATACTTCTTCATATAAAATTTTATATTCTCCTTTTTCATTTTAACAAGGTAGTCTTACACTAAACAAGCTTCACAAGTACAATTTTTAATGACAACACAATACTGTCATTGTGTACATATACATCAGTTTTCTTGACAATTCCTTGTTGTTCATTTAAGTGTTTTCATTTTACACTATTTTAATCACTAACTCCCTTCGTGTAGTTTGTTCTGCATTTGTGATTAATATCAGAGATTTCCAGAAGCAGAATTACTACAACAAAAGGATATAATTAAGGGTTTCAATACTTATAACCAAACTGTTATCCAAAAGCACTTAAATAACCTATATTTTTACTATCTGAGTACAAAAGTGCTTATTTCAAAAACACCCTCACCAGCACTGAGTAATACAATTTTTAGTCTCAGTTAATCAGATAGAAGTACCTCATTGGAACTAACTTACAACTCTTTGATTATTAATGAATGCATCCCCCGTATCTGTCAACCTAAATGCATTTGTTTTCTGTGAATTTACTGTTTATATCTTCTGGCCTATCTACTGGGTTCTTAAGTGAGTGGCCTGTCAATTTGTAAGAGTTTATATGTTAAATGTATTACCTTTTATCATGTCGCTATAAACATTTTTCTCATTTTTATTTTGCCTTTTAATTATTTTTGGCATTCAGAAGTTTTAAATTTCCATAAATTCCACAAAAAAAAACTTTAATGAGATTTTTAGCATAGAAATATTCCCCAAGCTTATTTTTATTTCCTAGATTTATTTATTTTTAATATGAATGACGCTTTACTTCAAGTTCATTTGCACCCTGGCTGGTGTGGCTCAGCAGATGAACTGCACGCCGCCGGCCCGGGAACGGAAGGGCTGTGCGCCAGCTCCCGGCTGGGGGTGAGCAAAAGGCAACCGATGGCTGTGTCTCTCACAAGTGGACGTTTCTCGCCATCTTTTTTTCAAAATAAATAAATAAAATCTTCTAAAATTTTTCATTTAATTGTATAGTAGGCACTGGATTTACCTTGTGGTTTGTTTTTTTTTTAAATCAAGTAGCGAACAGAGTGTGTGGGCAGTTCAGTGCCCCGGGACTAAATGATGCCCCTTCTCTACTCATTGAGACACCGACTCTTCGTGGGTCAGAGTCGCACGTAACAGGTGGGTCTGGAGACCAGTCTGCTGCACTGATAACTGTGTGCTTGTGCCAGGACCACCCTGTTCTAATTATTACAGTTTTTCAAAATTTTAGTTATTTGTTACGACTAGTTTCCCTCATGACTTTCAAAAAAATTTTTTGAAAGTATGCTTTTATCCTTCCAGATGAAATTTACAACCATTAGAACTTTATTTTGTCAAGTTCTAAAAGAAAAGTGAGTTTTTTGGTTTTTGGTTTTTTTTTTTTCGGTTTTCACATTTTTATTGGGGGCCATAGGATGTCCTTCTGGTCAGTAGAGGTGTTCAGTTTCTTCAGCCACTCCAGGCTTGGGCCCTGGGGGTCCTGGGGGTAGCTGGGCACGTCGGGCATGTTCCCATCATCTTGGACGAGCACTGGGTAGGTGTAGGGTGTGACCTTGTTGACTATGGCAGCATACTTGGTGTAGGGGCTGAAGATGGGCAGGACTATAGCGAGGCCCGCGACAGTGAAGGACGCGACCAGCACCGGCTCCTTGGCCCAGGCATTCTTGAGGAAGGCGGCGAGTCTCCCAGCCATCTTGGTCTCGGCGGCGGCCGAAAAGTATTTTTAAATGTATTTACTTAATTGTTGTTCAAGTATAGTTTTCTGTCTTTTATTACTATCCCAATCCACCCCCCAGTGCCCCCCACCTCCCTCCCATTTCCACCCCCCTTAGTTTTTGTCCATTTGTCCTTTATACTTGTTCCTGTAAATCCTTCCCCTTTTCCCCAGAAAAATAAGTATTTTTAAAAAGACTTTAATTAATTTTTTTAGAGAAAGGGGAAGGGAGGAAGAAAGAGAGGGAGACAAACACCCATCTGTTGCCTCACCACCCCCAAGCAGGGACCTGGCCGCAGTCCAGGCGCGCGCCCTGACTGGGAACTGAACCTGAGACCTTCTGGTCTGCAGGAGGATGTCCACCCCACTGAGCCACACTAATCCAGGCAAACATGTATTATTTTTTAATTAAAATAGCTTTAAACCTACAAATTAATTGAACTGAAAGCTCTGCAGGATTTAATTTCCTACTTGAGAAACTCTCTTCAATTTATTTCTCTCCTCTTCTAGTGAAATGGTCATTTTTTTCCCATATTTATTCCCTATATATGTTGAGTTCATTTCTAGGAATTTTGTATTTATTGTTATTCTGCACAGGATCGAATCTTCTACGTACTGTCTAAATGGTCACTGACCGTCAGGTTCCTGATGTACCTGATTTGCATCATATAACTCTAGCTGATCATCTTGGGTTTTCTGGGTGTACAACCTATCAACCAAAAACATCTTTTCGCCTTTTTATTTCTTATTTCTATCTCATGTTAGTGAGCAGGACTCAGAGACCCGCTGGTGCACGCACACCTCCCAGCTCCAGCATCACGAGGCTGCGCTTGGTGGAACCGAGTTCACAGGCCGGAGATGAGAGCCCACGGGCACAGCCGCTGCTCTGGCTGCCTGGCTTTCACACTCTTCCTCTGCACAGCCCGAACCACATGCAGGATGCGCCAAAGCAGCCGATGCCGCCCGGCAGCGTGGACCTATCTTCCTGTCAGCGAAGATGCTCTGGCCTCCCCAGAGTGAGGAGCCGCAGTCCCAACTGCCCTTGTGTTCATCCCTGGATGCACAAGTCACTCCTGCGGCTCAGCCCAGTCCATTAATATTCTCTTCTCTAAAGACTGAGCTGTCAAATTAACGCCTAACAATTTGGATATAAAATAAAGAATAGGAAAAAAGTTAAACATACAGATAGAACGGGCAAAGAAAAAATACACTAACTTACTCCAACTCTTCGTTCTGTGCCTGGTCACGAGGTCACACAAATGGTGTCCCTGACTCTCTCCACCTACCACCCCACACCTTGTTTGTCCTCAGTCAGAACCTCAGCAACTCGGGTTCTCACAGGTCGGCGTGGCCCAACGAATCTGACTCACAGACCTGCCTTATGGGGCAGGGGTGGGGGGCTTGCAGATTTTCATCACTCTTACCGTTAGGCCTAGAAGTACGTGCTAAGAGACACTTCGGAGAACCCCCGCTGTGCAGCATCAGCTACGTCTCTCCTTAGCAATCACCACTCAGCACTCCAGCCAGCAAAGTCACCCCTTGAGCACAGCAGCATGAAGAGCCCCAGACAGGTGGCCGCCTTATATTCCAATTTAGTGCAACAATTCTGCATTTGCCGGCAGAGGCCCCTCCTGCTCAGACAGTAAAGCACCATGCCCCAGCAGAGCCCTCACTGCTCTCCCGCAGAATCCCCGACTGGGTTGTCAGGTACAGTGACAGTGACTGACAGTGAGAGACTGCTTTCAGGGTCAAGCTGAGAGGTGCGATGTGAAAGCTGGTCTGACGATTCGTGCATCAAATACCCTGCTCTCCCTAATGTATGTCTTCAGGAAGAAATAGTGGTAATGACTTTATCTTTACTCCTTTTGATTCTATTGATTTTTGCTTTTTGTATTTCAAAGCTGTTAATATGTACACACAAATTTCCTGGCGGACTGGCTCATTTTTCATTCTGGAATCTCCTTCATTTCCAGGGACGGGCCATGCTGGAATTCTATTTTGTTTGATGTCACTTACCCTGGCCATCTTACTACAACTGTGACCCATCTATTCTTTGTTCCATTTCTTTTCTTTCCTTTCTTGTCTTCTTTGGCCCAGTTAAGTATTTTTTATTACTTCATTTCCCCTTTCCTTCTGTATTTGCTTATAGCCATTAATTCTCGTTCTAGCCTTTTAGTGGTTACTCTATAGCAGCTTTTTTCAACTCAAATTCAATGAGAGAACTATGTCTCACAGAAAATAACTTAGTGACGGTTTTTTTTCAGTTCTTCTAAGGATGATAACATCAAAATTAAGTTTTCGTTTTTGTGAGGGCTGCATTTCCGAATCATCCTTATATTCACCATTACTCCTAGGGTAAAACTTTTGGGGGGTTGGGGTCCCACCAAAAGCCTGGAGTGTTTACCAGCGTCCTCCTCCTCCATCATCCCCGAGGCCCGGGTTGTGCTGCAGCCTCATCAGCCTGTTGGACTCCTGCACCTCTCGACCTGTTCTCTCTGCTCAGCTTTTCCATCACAGCTTCTGGGCTGACAAAAGCCTCTGAGGGTCATGTAGCACCGCCTATTTACTCTGCCTCTTTGGAATGCTCTTCCTGCGGGGACCTCGGCCCCTCCGCGTCCTTGATGTCACAGTAGCTTCCAGTGCCTTCAGATATTTAATTTTTATGTCCTCCCTAGCTTTTCAGTTTGGGGTGGCCTGTGTGGTCTGATACAGCAGGTCTGCCTGAGCCAGAAGCAGAAGTCCTGGAGGATACTGAATTTTGCCCTGGCCAATGGTGCTCAGTTGGTTGGAGCACCACCCCATGACCCGAAAGGTTGCGGGTTCGATCTCTGGCCGGGGCACTTGCACATGGACGTTTCTCTCCTGCTCTCTCCCTCCCTTCCCCCCTCTCTAAAATATATCTTGTATGTTCATTCACAGGAGACCCACAAATTTCTTAAGATAAAAATAATCTACAGAGAGCATTCTTGTGTGTCAGCATTCCATTTTTTTTAAAAGAGGATATTGAATTTTGTTCAATGACTTTCCAGGTAGCAATGAAGATAACCCTATAAAGTCTCCTTCTTACTTGATTTACTCTCATGGAATATTAGAGATCTCTGCATTCCCCAAATAGACCTCATTTGGTCTTACTATTCTAATTTAATATGCTGCTGCATTTGTTTCATATTCTTTTCTTATGATGAGGTTTTGAAGAAATAATACTAATAATGATGAATTACACTTTCTGATAAACTTTAAGATTCTCAGATTATATTTATGTGACGGAAATCTAAAGTTAGCTTTGTTGCTTATCATTTTCATGTCTTTTAGGGTCATGCACTAATTTATAAAGTAAACTAGGTAACTTCCCCTCTTTTTAAAGTTCTGAGGCAATTTACATAGTAAACATGAAAAATATAAAAGAATTCATTTTTATTAACATTATCTAAAAAGGAGAAGCTTTTTGGAGATAAATTCTTTCATAATTAAAACTCTTCCTTGTTCTATCTGGGTTTTCTGGATTCTCAAAGGGTTCCAGGACTACTTCAAAAGACCCTGTCCTGCACAAATTTAACACTGCATAAATGTTATTTCCATGTGACCTAAAAGTTGTCTTTTGCTTTGCACCAGGTGAGAAATATCCACTATTTTTTAAAATCCCTGGAGAGTGCAGACCAGAAGGGTGGCCACGGACGGAGCAGAAAAGGAGCTGCTATGCTCCCTGCGCGTTCCTTGGCACCAGGAGCTTCCGCCAACTCCGCGGGAGAGCGGGCACCGGGGAAGACCCGCCACCCGCCACGTTGGAGGAGCCAGTCGCACAATCGGGCAGTATTTCCTGGGTGCCCGCTATGTATGTCCATTAGCTAAAGTTTATAAACGGTAAGAATTAAACATGATTCTTGCCTTCAAGGAGTTTATAATCTCACAAAAGAGAGGGAAAATGTGTACGTGTAGAATCATAGTAAAAGGCAGAAGGCTAAGCGCCATGGGACAAATGTAAACTGAGAATCTGGTCACAGTGACTCACGCAATCCGGACGCAAGCAGCAGGCACTGCACTTCTTTAACACTCCTCTAATTGAGGGAGATCGAGCTTTATGCATAAAGCGACTGAGTGACTATGTATTTCTAGGTACGTGATCTCACTGAGTATAGCTTCACCACTATGATAACTAAATGCCGTAGGAGAAAGCTTTATATGCATTTCTGCAACCCCAACTGGGGCTTCTGTGTGAAATAGAGTAAATTAAACTGACAATACGATCATCATAAAAACAAATCCTAATAGTCTACAAAGAATTCAAATTCAATCTCTCTTCCACATATTTGCTCAAACAATTTATACGCCAGCACGGTGGATGTTTCCAGGGCAAAACCACCCCCGCCCCACCTCACAAATCCTACCGAAGTGATTACTACGGTCATGTCTATGCCAGGCCAGGTCATGTCATATGTCTATGCTAACACCATGCTCTAGATTTGAAACACACTCCTGAACCTGCAGTGATATACACAGGAACAGAGGACAACAGCACACACGTGTGACAGTGAGGCATGGACTTCACAGGGCGGAACATGGGGAAGATGGTGTGCACCCACCCAGCGTCGAACTTGGGCCCTGTACCACTTAATCCCTACTCTGACCTTGTAGTAGGCATTATCGCCCACTTCCAGAACAGCAAACTAAGGCTGAGAGAATTTAAAAACAAACCCCAAGTCACCCGGCATTCCTAGAAACCCAGAATCGACAACTCCGAGACCACTTACACTCGTGACCCCCGGACGCGGGTTATCCGTATGCGAGTCTCCCATGGCTGCATTCACTCGGTGCACAGGGCCCTCCACTGTGACGGTGCCTTTTTCCTTCTCTGCCTGGGAATGACTTTGACTCTATAAAGTGAGGATAAGAGTGGATGGTGGTGGTTTGTGTTCAGAAGTCTAAGAGGCCAGATGAAAAGATGTCAACAGTGTATCGGCTCCTCCTAGTTGCTGAACTTGTTTTTGTAATAGTCCCATGGTCTCTTAACCACAGGGC